GACATCACCAACTCGCTTTTCGAGCTATGTTTACACTCTGGCCAGCCGTGGCGAGGTGCAGCGGGTCCCATGACGTACGTCATCAGCGATGGATCTAGTGACATCATCCAATACCCACCATAGACGATGGAGCGGCTCCCGGCTTCAGTTTCCATTTCGACTCTCCGTTTATTGCCTATTAAAAATTTTTGACTGGTGCCTGGGCAAAATGAACCACCCTAGCTTTTACAGGACTGTCTATACTATTTGAAAGCAGCATTATCTCAATATGGTTGAAAATGCACCAGAGTTCCCCTTTAAGTGGCTCTGATGCCCCACACTCCATTTGCATCGTCAGTACCAATTAAGAAATGAAAGAAATGCAGCAACTACAAGAAATTCACGGTAGTGAAGACAGCTGCAATTATTTTCCAGGTGAAAAGCGGCCAGCCTCAATCCGATGTTGCCATGAGCAACCTGGACAGTTACGAGATCATCTGTGAAGGCCTTGAACTAGCAACGCCCACAGAATTTCGAATGCAGATTCAGTGATGGCCACCGCAATGCTGGTGACAGCCTACAGGGGTGGCCAAACCCCTGCTGAAATACAGGCAGACTGTCGTCAATGAGCCTGTTCGTTTGCAGACGTGCATTGACAAGATTTTCTGGCTTATGGGCTAATCAAGGCTCTTTTTTCCTGCTGAATGGTGTTTTTTTTTCTGGGGGGGGGATTACGCCGAGCCTGAATACAGTCGCCGACCGTTTATTCGGACGCCGAAAATTCGGACATGCCCGTTTATTAGGACATCTTCATGGCACCGCCACTCGCCCCATTGAACCTAATGTAAACTCACGACCGAAAATTCGGACGCCCCGCTGTGCGCCGTTCGATTAATCGGACTCCGTTTGACTGACCGGATGCGTCGCCGTACGCCATGACACGCTGACAGGGACGTTAACAATACGTTTGCTAGGTTGCCAGCACTGATATGCTGCACTAGCTATGGATGGACGTCGGGCCAGTGTCAAAATGCACGCAGAAATCACCATTGCCGATCTCGAAGGCTATGTTTGGCGACACGTTTTTTTCGGTTTTAGCCAGTCGAGCGGCCAAGCCAAGCCACTTACGGAGTCTGTTCGCTGTGGCGTTTGGCGTGGTTTGGCGTTTGTGTCAGCGTGTCAGTGGTGTCAGTCAGTTGCTTCTGCGGGTAGGCCTGGTTCGTCTTGTTCTCTGTGTTCTCGCTCTCTTGTGTGTTCCGTGGCGTGCTGAAATGGCTCCGACGCCACCCGTTGCTGCGCCGTCGGGAGTGAAGAAACGCGGCCAACGTGGGAGCTACAAGACGCTCACGATGGCGAAGAAAGCGGAGATAATTCGCCAGGTAGAAGGCGGCCGACCTCAGTCTGAAGTTGCTCGGGAATTTTCCATTTCCAAGCAAACCGTCTCGGACTACCTCAAGCAGAAGGCTAAGATCCTGGAGGCAGCTGAGAAAGAGTCTGCGGGTACGCAGAAAAATTTCCGGGACGGCAGCCACCCGCAGCTTGAAGCGCTGAACATGTGGTTGAGTGCCACGGTGGCTAGGAAAATACCCGTGTTTGGCGATCTGCTGAGACAGAAAGCAGAGACGCTCGCCCTGCGCATGGGTATTACCGGCTGCAAGTTCAGTGACGGGTGGTTGCGCAACTTTAAGAAAAGGTACGACCTGGCCTTCAAGCGAATGTGCGGCGAGAGTGGTTCCGTCGACCAAACGCTCGTGACCAACTACCGCGCCGACAAGCTGTGCGCACTGCTGCGCCAGTATCCACCAGAAAACGTCTTTAATTGTGACGAGACTGGACTTTTCTATAAGATGCTGCCCGACAAGACGCTAGCTTTGTCTGGCGAACCCTGTCATGGGGGGAAGCATAGCAAGGAGCGACTGACAGTTGTTGTAGGAGGCAACATGACGGGGACAGAGAAACTTCCGCTCCTCGTGATAGAGAAATAAAAAAATCCAAGATGTTTTAAAGGCGTCAAATCACTCCCTGTGTGGTATGAAGCAAATTCGAAGGCGTGGATTACGCAAAACCTCTTCGAACAGTACCTTCGCAAGCTCGACCGCCGGTACGAACAGCAAAATCGCAAGGTGCTGATGTTCGTCGACAACTGCGGTGCCCATGGGCATATCGACAACTTGAAGGCTATGACAGTGGAGTTTTTGCCGCCTAACACGACAAGCATGTTGCAGCCCATGGACCAGGGAGTGATCAAAAACTTGAAAGTTCATTACCGGTCGCGCCTCCTGAATCGTGTGCTGTTATGCGTCGACAGTAACAAAAACTACGTCGTGGATGTTCTGACGGCCATCAGCATGTTGTCCGATGCCTGGAAGTCAGTGACTCAGGAAACGATCCACAACTGCTTCCGCCACGCAGGATTTATTACTGGGATTGAGGAGGACAGTGCCACAGGCCAGAACACCGCGGTTGAGAGTCCGCCTACCGCAGCAGCGGACATTTTGGACGACCTTCGTGCTAACGGGGTCGATGTGGGGGCGGTTACGTTTGAAGAGTTCGCCAACTTCGACAGTGCCGTTTTGCCTTGCGCAGAGTTCGACGATGACGAGATCGTCCGTCAGGTCTGCGAGCCGGCGCTGGCGGACAGTGACTCCGACGATGACGCGCCGCCCGCACCACAGCCATCAAAGGCGGACTTAGCGCAGGCCATATCGATGCTGTTGTCTGTCTACAGCGACGGCCAGACACACGCAGAGGTACAGGCCGACGTGGTCGCGCGTAAGCGTGCGTGCGTGCAGACGCGCATAGACAGTTTTTTCGGGCGATCAGGCCAATAAAAGTGCTTTTTTTCGAGTGAATCCGTTTTTTCGGACTCCCGATTATTCGGACTTTTCGGCGGTTCCCGTCGAGTCCGAATAAACGGTCGAGGACTGTAATCGGTAGAGGCAAACTAGGTCTATTTCCAATAGGAATTCTTCAAAGAGAGAAGATTCTGCATCAGGTGAGACAATGATGGCATTCTTACATGGCAGTTCATCCCTCTTGCTCATTGTTTTGGGGGAAAATGCCAACCTGAAGAAGCTCGTCCTGTATCTGATCTCATCTTGCAGGCATGATAAGGTGTGCCGAGCACACTCTTCCAACTATGAGCTGTTGAATATGCTTCACAGCATACAAGTTATGCACCAGGAAGGCGCTACAGTGTCGAAGCTTACATCCACTTTGGAGACTGCATAACAAGAAGCTTGAGAAAGCTCTACACCATTGTGAAACTTTAGAAAACACGTCAGCTCCACCCACAAAATGTAAATGACCGCCATGATATACTTTGAGACAACTTTTCTGAAGAGCCAGCCTTATGGAACCTATAGAGCCGAAGTTCATGCTTGCTACTTGAACCAAAAATAGCACTAGAGTCTACTGAAATAAATGCTCCTTTGCTTATAAGACGAGACCCAAACATTTGGGAAAAATCGTGAGTAAAATAGTTATTGTTCATTTTGCAAGAATACCTTTTTCTCCCCATTTGCTTGGCAACACCTTTTCAGCACGCCTATTCTTTTATGTAAACATGACGCGTCATGTAAACATGAGCGGATCAGTGTGCTGCTGAAAATGTGCAGTTTAGTTCTCAAAAAAAAAAAAAATACTGTAGAATACCAATCAAATGCCACTACCCATATAAGTAAAGATTTCCAATTTTTTCAAGTCGATGATGCTTGTTTTGAGTTCCTTGAGTGGAACAGGACGGGCTGTTTAGTAACAGACCTTTCTGAGGAATGTGTCAAAATAGCTCGGTTCAGTGAGCCAATGTATCAAGGGGTGGAAGCACCGGTCTGGCACGACAATGCGCCAAGCCACAAATGAGTCGGAATGCACCCGACAAATCGTCGGAGGCAACAAAGGCATTTCGCTCTGCAGAGAATTTTCGACAAGCACGCCCCAAGTACACACAATTGACCAGAGGATGGTCAGAATGGACTTTTAGTCGTGCGAGCAGGACAAACAACGCGGTTGGAGAGAGCACCGTGCTCATTGCAGACACTGGCTGCGGCCACCTGCAGGGGCTCCAAGTGGCCACAAGTTTCTAACTTTTATCATTCTGAATGAATCAAGCGAAACAATACCAGCCAAGACGTTCATAAGCCTTTGTAGACCAGATGAGCGATGAAGTTTACGCATCAGGTTTATTTTTTCTAGTTTTCTTCCACGGCAGAGAAATGTGCTTCCACAATTAGAACTGTGCTTCGTCACAGAGACCTTAGTCGACTGAAATTTTTATTAGTAGCAAATGTTTACGTCACCACATCGAAAAACGGAGGGACAAAATAGGATGAACTGTAGGAGTGGCTGGCAAGGGTGTGGGGGCAGAAAGACTATGTGTGAGTGCTACTTGCGCTGGATCAGGTGCCTATACACTGGACTCTAGCAGCAAAGGACGCCTTAGAGAAACTCAGATTGCTCGTAATATGACAATGAAATGAACAGTGAGCTATCTGAATGTCTCTCACATTTAAATCTTTCGCTTATATGTTTTTCTGAGCAACGTTAATGATGCAAGCAAGCAATACTGAAACCAGCCACAAGCTGCCGTACTACTTGCGGAGCAACACAAATGTGTAGAAGCCCCACTTTCGAAGCGTTCACTCTCCTGCCAAGATGAGTTGTCACAAAAGTACACCTTGGTACTTTCACAACACCTGTGCAACAGCAGAAAACGATTCCTGCCATCAGTGCAGTTTGGGTGCCCTGAACACTGACATTGTCAACTTGAACATGTTCATACTCAATATCATCTACGTGAAGTGATAGGCAATGCAGCTTTTGGAGGGTACGCCAATGTTGACAGCTGCAGAATGCCTCTTGGTGCCATAACGGACGACAACATCGCCAGAGTAGACATAACCCCAGAATTCAGTCAGAAATTTGCAGCCAATCATTGTTGAAGGTGCAGATTTTGGATAAAATACAGAAACATGTTCTGCCATGCTGGAGTAGATGAAACACGTAGGCAAAGAATCGCTCACCCTCATATTGTGGACGAGGACTTTGCGGAAGCCGTTGGGCAGAATGTGCTTGGTTTTCCTGTTGCTTCCATAACCAATGTTGGGCATCAGGTATTGACCCTTGAAACGCCGCCGCACTCTGTTGTCAATACCTTTTGGCTTCCTCCAGTTGGGCTGTGTGCACACGAGAGAATACCATGAATGCCACGGGATTCAAAAAAAGATAAGCACAATAGCCTACAGGTACTTCACAAAGGAATAAAACTACACACGAGAAAGGTGACGCTGCTGTGCGAGGTTACTGGTGCATACGCTGGGAAGTGATATCTAGACCCTTTCAAAAGTCCCATATTGCTTCACTCACACGTAAGCAACTGGTCTACCATTAATACAAGGCATCAACCACCCAATAATATAATATCTGAACTCACATTTTTCAATCAAAATTTATTTTTGACTGAATTATTTCAAATTCTGAATTACTGTTGTTACATTTAGTTTAAAATTACCTGGAAGGGTAGGATAAATAAGTATGTTATCCAACTCACCCCTATTTTTGAATGAATATAAATCCAATTAGAGCCAATACACGAAAACACATCTCAGTGTAGAATTAGTATTACAGGAGATTGTGAATTACGCTCCCATAAGCACTGCATCTAGTCTCATGGTGTACTTTGTTAAGAATGTAACGTGCGGAAATTCAATTGACGCCTCACGTTTACCCTTATGTGATTTCTTATAAGCTAGACGTTCACCCTAGGGCTAAGACGTTTCAAACCCCACGACTCAGTGGCTGCAAGAACGCACGCAATTGTTTCAGCAACCGATGCACTAGGCAATCCCATCCAATTTACAGCCTCAACCAATGTTGGCCGTATTGTGACCGGTGGATCTTCCAAGCGATACACACCAGCGCATATTGAGCCATTTTTGTTCGAGCATATTAGCACCAACCAGCCAAAAAAATGCAGGCAGGTGACTCTTAGCTCGACTTTCTCAGGCATAGGGCACATTTGCAGTTGTTTCCGTAGTAGACATCATAAAATCAGCACAATGCTCATGTTAAATGAACTGAAGCAGCAAGTTATTCCCCTAAGCTATAGGATTTTGTTAACTGTTTCGTATGCAATATTAAAACCAGACAGAACGTCAATGAGACATACATTTACATAGCCTTGGAAACAACATTTACAGGTTATGTTGTAAATGCACTACATCTATTCTTCCACGATGTTTACCAGCTAGGCCAGGGTAACTTGTAAGGATCCTACCACAGCTTTTATGTTTGCACGTATAAACTAGCTTAAAGGCAATAGCTCAGCTTGCAACAGAGGGTAGCATTCAGCTTTTCCTGTTACATTCATCACTCATTCATATCAGCTTAACGGTTCTAAAATTGGTTTTCGCGGCTGCCTAGAATTCAAAAATCGAAATGCCACCGCAGCCTGCTCTTAGACGTCTCTATTTAGCGATTTACGACCACTACGAAAGCGCTCCAAGGGGCCAGCCAAAACATTCGATTGAAAATTCCCTTTCGATGAAACTCACCTTCAGCTTCACATATCGGTCACTCTGGTGACGGATGAACTTCTTCACCCGCTTTTTGACGAGGGGAACGGTCTTCAATGGCTTGATAGCCATTGTTTAATCTGAAACAAGCGTGAAGCACAATCACTCGTTAGACACCACGCGTTGTCACACGCGCTGTCGCGAATGCCGCGAGTGGCAGCCAACATCAACGCGCCTGCAAGCCACCAAAATACACAATTCTTGCCGAATCGACGTACGCCGTTGCAGCGTAGGTCAATGAATGTGCCTAGTCTAAGGAACGTTGGTGTAGGCAGCCTTGTGATCGGTGAATCATTTTCGATGGACGCCACCGACGCATAATGATGCCGCCTTTCTACGAGCGTCTTAGCACCCGCTGGCCATGAGCGAGCCAGCAGGCAACTCTAAGCTCGCACTACGATCAAGCATGATTCCAACCAGCACACTCAGCGTAAACAGCGGCTACGCGCTACCGAAATGCGAGGATACCTTTCAGCACTCGTGGAAGCCATGACAGTCCCACACCGGGAACGGCGACGAATTTGCAAAATTTTCATGGTTACGAAACGGAAATATTAATTCCGAAGCAATGGCTATCTAAACACACGTACTACTACCTAGCAAAATAGTCTGATCGAGCAGAGTTGACAAAAAATCAACAGGATTGCGAACAGCGAGACGAAATACGCTTACCAGTGCTCGCCGCGAAGGCAGGAAAGAGAGCACTGGACGCATGCGCTAGAAAACTTGACCATGGTGATGGATGAATAAACTACTAAAGTGTTATTAAGCGCCCTCTGTGATAATTGCTTTTTTTTCAGTATTTTATAACACTATTTCAAATTTATAGCATTTTTGCCATTTTTTGCCCAGTTTTTTATTATAAATTTATTTTGGCACTTTAAAGTATTGTTTTGTTTTATTTCTAATGAACTTGACAAGTCCCGTGTAGGAAGTACGGTTTTGAGGTGCGTCACACTTTTTATGTAATGCTGGCAAGAGACCATTGGTGGTCTAGAAAATTTTGTACTATTTTGTGATGCTTAAGTGAGTAAGTGTGAAAAAAAAAAGAACAAGCACAGTTGATGGTAGTATGTAGCTGTTCTGTGATTGCACTGCTTTCCCTTGTGGAGATCAGTGGTTGATTGTGCATGCAATTATGCACCCTTCACATGAATAGAAGCCAGAAAAAACGATCGACCAAAGAGTTGCGATTGACATCTGTTAAAACAAAGTCTTAGCTACAAACCATCCCGAAAGTCAAAGAAGCATATGACAGACTACAGTGTACTAGAAGGGGGCAATAGAGTGAACGAGGTGGCCGCGCCGCATTTTGGCTGATTCTTCGGCAGGTGACAGTAGCGGCGGCGCTGTAGTCTTATGGTACTGATGATCTCAGGAGCGTCTGCATTGGGAGCGCCCGAGCGTGCGAAAGCTTGCAATTGCTCGTTTTTAGCGCGTTTAAAGCGTTTATGAGCCTTTGGCAGTGGACGCACCTGCTACGCGCCATGGTGCACGAGTTAATATGCAGGCACGCTGAAATTTCGTCGATACATTCACTGTTTCAAGCGCCTGATGACCCAGAAAAAAAAAAAAAAATATCAATCGGAATTTGCACGGATCCACCTAGCTTCTTACTCAATCAGCGCTTTGAGCTGTGTTACATCTTAAGTGGCTACTGGCGAACTTCAAAGAGGGGAGAAGTATCAAAACTTTGATTAAATCACGCGCTCGTTTTGTCAGCAGTCTCTACGATATCCAGAGCACAGTGTTCCTCATATGAGCCTGTATGCGCTCGATTGTTTCACGAGAAACCCGAGTGTAAGTAACACAACATTAGTTGTCACAACATTAATTGGTGACGACTCTTTTGATGATGCCAGTTTTGTGGAAGATAATAATTATTGCTTTCCGAAAGACTTATTCCATTACAAACTTATTAAAAACAACACTCAACCTATATATATATATATATATATATATATATATATATATATATATATATATATATATATATATATATATATATATATATATATATATATATATATATATATATATATATATATATATAATGCCCCTTAGCACAGCTTCTAATTTTAGGCGGTACATTTCTCGTCCGACTACGTTAGACTTGAACTAGTTTTGAGACCTCGTACTCGTGAAAGTAAAATCTACAGTGCGCACTTGCAGAGACACGCTATGTTCCGCTTCGCCAACTTTAAACTATAGGCGCAAGGCTACCCACGGGTTTTTTTTTTTTTTTTTTTTAGTGCGTGTTGTGTGCAGCAGAACGCCTAACTTTGGCAATCGGTGGTCACTGTGAATGCCTGTATCTATTTTAGTATACCCCGGAAAGTTGAATTATCAAAACATTTCATGGTGTAGGAGGTTCCGACTTTTTTTCCTCTCCCCTCTTTCCTTGTGGCTTTCTGGTTCTGCGTGCGTGTGACACAATATTTGTTTTTTTAATCTCACAGCTTTCTGAGCACAGCTCACTTCCAATAAATCAGCTCAGTTATTTTGAATATTGCAGACGCCTATCCAATGAAGAAAGAGTTAAGAGAGAAGAAATCAGTAAAAGACCACCCTTTCTCAATTATTTTCGATCTTTTATGGAGCTCAAATTCAGTAGATGGGCGTGTCACACTTCAAGGGCTATGGCATTATGTGCTAGACATGAATGATGGGCAGGTGCGAATAAATCTGCATCAAAAAAGCGCGACGGAAGAGCCGAAGCGCATAGCAGTTCCTGCGCGTGGCTCTTTCAGTACTGGATGGATGGATGCTATGAGCGTCCCCTTTATAACGGGGTGGTGAAAAGTATGCCACCAGGCTCGACAAAAAAAAAAAACCCTTTTTTCTCTTTTTATGTTGGCCTAATGCCTCTACTTCGATAAATTCTATCTTAATGGAAAAAAAGGTAAATTTTCAGCTCAAGTTCTCTGCCATTTACGGTACACTGTCCATATTTTATTTTTCCAATATTTATTTTTGTCCTTTCTCTCTAATTTTCTGCCACCAATATTCTAACCGTCTCTTACTTATTTCAATCGCGGGTGTGTTCAGCTTTCCATTGTTGTCCCTAAAACCCAAGGCTTCGTGTAGGCTCGTGCCCAAACGTACACCTGGGTGGATATCTCCACATTCAATCAGAACATGCTCCGCCGTTTCCTTATCTTTCCCACAGCATGTGCATTGTTCTTCTTCTTTACTGAATCTTGCTTTATAACTACGCGTTCTAAGGCAACCCGATCTCGCTTCAAACAGTAAAGCGCTTCCCCTTGAATTATCGTAAAATGCCTCCCTCCTTATTTCATTTTTGCCCTTTCGGTAGTTACTCAAAGCCGGTTTTTTCTCCATAGCTGCCATCCAGTAAATCCTCTCCGCCTCCCTGACTTTTCCCTTAACGCTCTTTGTTGACATATGGCTTACAATACCAGCCGTATATTTACTAGTGAGTCTTCTAGTTCTTTTTCTCCACTGTGTGTCCACGCTCCTCCTATACAAATAACGGAACACCTTCTCTGCCCATCTACTCTCCTTCATATTTCTTAGCCTTTCTTCGAACCTTATTTTGCTCTGCGCTTCCCTCGCCTCAAAACCTGCCCACCCCATATCGCCCTTTACAGCCTCGTTTGTCGTCCTCCCGTGAGCACCCAACGCGAGGCGTCCCACAGTCCTTTGATTTACATCCATTCCCGATTGCACCTCTGCCCTCATGCACACCACTGAGTTCCCAAAAGTAAGCCCTGGAACCATTACACCCTTCCACAGACCTCGAAGCACCTCATACCTATTGTATCCCCACAACGCTCTGTGCTTCATTATTGCCGCATTCCTCTTTCCTTTTGCTGCCGAGGCTTTTTCCTGTACCTCCATGTATCTATCACTCTCATTTACCCATACTCCAAGGTACTTGTATTCACTTACCCTCGGTATTTCTTGGCCTTGTATGGACACCGTCTGATCACAGGGATCATTGAATACCATCAAACCACACTTCGTTACACTGAATCCTAGTCCAAGAGCTTCACCTTCCCTTCCGCATATATTCGCCAGCTGCTGTATATCATCTCGACTGTCCGCAAATAAGACGATATCGTCCGCATATAAAATAAACCTGGAAGCTTCTGCTCAATCATCATGCCGCCCTGTTTGTGTGACAGATTAAAACCAATGTTGCTACCTTCTAGCGCTTTTTCCATACTCACTATGTACAGCATGAATAACAGTGGGGACAAAGGACATCCCTGTCTCAGACCCCTGCTAACCTCAACGTTCTCTTTGCTACGCATTCCTTCCCACTCTATGCAAACTGTATTTTCTCGGTATATCTCCCTCAAAAGCTGTATACAGTCGTCGCCCATGCCCATTCCTTTCAATATATCCCACAAAATTTCCTGATTAACGTTGTCGTATGCCCCAGTGATGTCTAGAAAAGCCACGTACAAGGGCCTATTCTCTATTTTAGATATTTCTATACACTGAGTGAGAACAAACAGGTTATTGTCTAACCGCCTGTCGACTCGAAATCCGTTCTGAAGTTCTGCCAAAATATCGTTATGTTCGGCCCATGTTTCTATTTTCATTTTTACTGCTTGCATCGCCAACCTGTATAGTACCGATGTAATGGTTAGTGGTCTATACGAGCGAATCTTGTCCTTTTCTCCCTTGCCTTTATAGATTAAGTTCATTCTACTTTGTCGCCAACTGTCCGGTATTTGTCCGTCCTTTAAGCTTTTTTCTACTGCTTTTAACAATGCTTCTTTAGTGTTATGTCCTAGTTCGTTAATGAGGCTAACGGGAATCCCATCTAAACCCGCGGCAGTGCGCTTTGGAATTTTTCCTTCGGCCTTTTTCCAGTTGAAATTATCAAGTACTAGCTCTTCCTCTGTTGCTTTCTCCGCCACACTTTTACTCACCGGGGAGATCCCCTGGACGCTCTTTTGAAACGAATCGGCTGTTACCTTTTGGATGTAACCTAGCGCTTCGTACCCTTCCAATTGATCTCCTCCTTCATCTAGAATATGTTGTTGCGTTGTGACAGACTTCCTACCTAGCACCTTTATGTGGCTCCAAAAAATCCTAGGCGCGGCCTCCTTTTTTTCGTGTATCTCTGTCATCCAGCGTTCACTTTCACCTTTAATTTTTGCCTCTACCAATTTCTGTACAAGGGATTTTTTCTCTAAATATATTTCCCATATTTTTTTTACTTCGTCCTGCGGCCGCTTCTCCTTTTTTGCCTTTCTATGCTCCCGTGATGCTTCGCGTCGCTTCTCGATCGCCTCCCGGATTTCCTTGTTCCACCAACTTTTTGGCTTCCTTTTTCCTTTCCAGCAAACAGTTTTCTTCTCTTTCCCTATCTCCTTCGTCATTAGATGTAACAGCTCACTATACTCCCAGTCCTTGCCTGGTATTTCGCCTACTTCTTCCTCGACTCTTGCGGCTATATTTATTATTTGTTTGTCATTTAAATACGAGCTGCCAGACTTTGATTCCATGCTCATGTTTTCAGTTTCGTATCCCATTTGTAATGTTATTCGTTTATGATCACTACCCAAGCTGTTAATGCCTTCCTCGTCTATCCTCATTTCTGTCAGTTTGTGGTAAATTCCTTTAGTCATGAGACAATAATCAATACTTGATTGCTTGTTTCCGACTTCCCATGTGATCTGGCCGTCACATTTAGGCCCCGTGTTAACTATCTCCATACTATGTTGCTCGCAAAGATCTAGTAATAACTTCCCATTGGTGTCTGAATATCCGTCAAGGTCATGTATGTGGGCATTCATGTCCCCTAGAAGGATGATTTCGGCCCCATTACCAAATTCCTTAATATCCGCACTCATGCAATCCACTATCTCCTGATTCTTTTCTCTGCAGTTATTCCCCGTCCACAAGTAGGCTACCCCTAGCCACGTTTCCTTTCCACCTACTGTGCCCAGAACCCAGAGGTGCTCTGAACACGTCTGTTTCACTCTAACCCATTTGGCTCCGCGGTGAATTAGCATTCCTACTCCCCCACCTTTCCTTTCCGATATGGTCCTGTTACACCCTTCCCAAACATAATTTTTAATATGTGGTGGCTCTTCCAAGTCTCTAAGGTGTGTTTCTGTAACCGCATACACGCCTATATGTTCTTTGTTTAACTGCTCCTCAATCTCTAACCATTTTGCCTTCTTTCTGCCACCCTGCATGTTTATGTAACTAATTGCAACACGCGCCTTTTTCCTTTTTCTTTTACTTTTTTCTGGTTTTTCGCAATTCTACCTGTCAAAGCGTCCTCCTGGCCGTTTTCCCTGTTACGAGCTACCCCGGACTCCGAAGGGCCCGTGAGCCCCCCAAAAAAGCTACTGCGCGTCCTGCCAGTCGCCAGCCCACCTCGTGTCCAAGCCTCTTATCGAAATGAATCTTGTCTCTTTGGAATCCACCCCACCTGTGCACTTCCCTGTTTAAATCCACTACCTCGAAACCCTTCTCTCGACTAATTCGCCATATCTCTTTGTTTGCGTCGACAACCGCTCTCTGCAGGTTGACGTTGCGTACTGGTACTTCCGGTACTGTGCATACTACAATTTGCACCTGGGGGGACACGGTGCGCATGTCATCCACCCCTTTCGCCAAGGTCGTCGCTAGTCCTGACGATTCTTTTTTCAGGACGTCATTTAACCCTCCCGCAATTACAACGAGGTTACGATTGTTAGCTTTAGCTGCGAGTTGTTCACCCGCTTGACTCATTACTATTCGACTGCAGCGCCGCCGCTGCGGGCAACGCGGAAGGTATCAGGCGGCGAGGCATGGTCAAGCCGCTTAACACTTCTAGTACACTCTACTATGGTGGCTAGAAGGAGCCACCCACGGAGGAAGGAAAAACCTTTTTCCTTCCTCCGTGCACCATACCTATGCCTGCAGTCAGATTGGGCCGTCAGATTGTGCCCAGGCTGCGTGTTCGGCTTTGTTTTCACGACCCCACGCATGCTTCCTTCCTCCATGGCCCGACCCAGTTATGTCCAGGGTATATGGTGCGCAGGGGTGCTATTTTGGACACGGTTTAATTCCGCCCTATTATCAAATTTTGTAATGGCGGCATTTTAAGTCAATCAGAGAGGTCCTAGGAGCTCATTTGGCCAATTAGCATTGATCAATGGCGGAATCTGACATGGGGGACTTCGTCAATGTCCAGAGAACGCCTCCCCCCCCCCCCCCCCCCAAAAAAAAAATGTGCCTGGAACAAGAGCCGCGAACGCGCTGCCCAAGTCTCTGATTTTACTCTCCTCCTTCGGTACGAAGCCGCCCCCTGCGAACACAGCAATGCTTTCACAGTTGCCTCCGAGCAGCCGTCATGTCACATGACAGAGCGGTACGGTAATGTCACGTGACTGAGCGGTATGAAGGCGAGTGGTCTCGCGCGGCGGCTGGTCGCAGCACAAGGCAGGAGGCATGGCCTCCGAGATTTTGTTTTTGCAGGAGGCTCCCACTTGATGAGAGCGACGTTCCATGCATAGTTTTTCTAGGAGGCGTTGGTTCACCCCCTCTGTGGGGCGCGCGCATCGATGCACCCTACAGGACGTAACAGGGCGGCGATGAGAGCGCTGGTGGAGGTGTGTTGCGAAGCGAAACACGTTGAACCAAACGAAACACATTGAAGAGCGGTAATACGGCTGCTGCGGTGGGCGCTTGATGATTCGTTTACCCGAATAAAATTTTGTTTGAAATGCAGACACCGAAGGCGGGTTAGGCTTACTGAAGTTTCATCGAAGATAAACGAGCCGAAAGAGTAGACAGATTTAGTTGCGCGTCCGTATAGCAATTAACCGTACGGACGCAGCCTGCAAGCGTCCGTACTGCTGCTGCGGACGCACAACTAAATATGTGAACTGTTTCCACTCCACGTGCGGTCGAGCGTTGCGAGCTGTGGAGAGAGCGAAGCGAGAGAGAAGTTTGTTGCGAGCAGACAGCGGGGCCGGCAGCTGCTGCGGGTGATGGAGCAACGTCAACGCGCAGCTGTGACGACCTACTTGGCACCGCTCCAACACCTGCAGCGAGGGGGTTAATGTGGACGTACGGGACAGCGTTACAAGGCGCTGCACCGTGCTCTCCACCGGGCTGCAGAAATGAGGCACCTTCTTCCTCTTCTAACCACTACCCCCACCACCAGGCTAGTCAAAGAGCTGCTTCGCATCTAATAGGGGGACCCGCGGGTGGTGAAGAGTGAAACGATGTAGGGGCTTTCGTGTCCCCCTCGGAAAAAAGATATGTGGGGTTTAACATTCCAAAACCACCATATGATTATGAGAGACAGCATAGTGGAGGGCTCCGGAAATTTTGACCACCTGGTGTTCTTAAAGTGCACCCAAATCCGAGCACACGGTCAGAAAAAAGAAAAGCATTCCTGGTTTCGTAAACCACCTTGAGAGCATGCCGACAACAGAGCGAGAGGTGACGAGCAATAGCCCTGACAAGAATTCAAGGACCCCCCCCACCCCCCGACACCAAATTACGAAACTCGAGATGCGCGTGTTGTTTGATAGTCCGGCATGCGGAGCCATTAGTGCTCAGTATTGCCAAGAAAATATTTTAATTTGGTTTTAATGTAAGGGTCCGTGCTCTTCTGAGTATTCAAGTACAATCAACATTTTCTGCAATTTCACGTAGACAGGGGATCTCCTTGTGACATTTCAGAGGTCGCTTATGGACACTTAAAGATCGCTTATGGACACTGGAGGTGACAGACAACTATGGCACTGTTGTTGTGATCTCATTAGAGCTTTCTCCATGAAATTCACTTATAAACGTGCCTTTGCAGCACTATAAAGGGCAACACCATTCTTTGCAAACATAACTATAACCAAGAACTAGTTAAATTTGTGTTATGTTGACATTTGTATTTAACGTACTACAGGAATAGTTGCTCTCGCATACTTTGACCAACTCCATTCGAATGTTCAGAAATTTCAGAAGCTTATCTCCAGAGGTGATTGTTCAAGAATATTGCACTGGAATAAAAATTCTCCTTGGCTTGGCAAGGCAGACCCTGGCAGCTGACAAGTTCAAGTTGCACAATATCTTAGCAACCAAAGTCAGTGACCAAGCAAAGTAGGTGCAGGTTTGTTGCAGACGAGTGTACCAGCCACTGCTTTATGGCATCAAACTCTCGTTAACTTGGTTATATTTGATCGCAACTCAGTTACAATTCTGATAACCTTCTAAGCGCGCGGACCGTGAACCGCCATTCAGGAATGAAAACAGTGTTCGCAGACAGTCGAAACGGCCACAGGCTTTCACAAAGACTTAGTGTCCCCCCAAAACCACATTTGTAGTGTATGTGTTCAGAGAATGTGTTGGATGAAGACATGGGGGTCATTCGAGCCAAGCTCACACAGTAAACGAAATCCTAAATGACAAAAATTGCAGGTTCTACGCTGCTGTCGTGCAAAATATTTGCTAGATTTTTAGCATTCATGAAAACAATGAAACTGTACTGATGCAATAGAAAATTTTTTGTTGTTTTTTCGATACTTTCGATAATTCAGCATTTGGCCCATTTGAACAGTTTTTGTTTTCCAGTCACGTGAAGAACGAATTAATGAGTTTCTGATGTAGTACTTACCTACTTTAGAAGGACATCAAAACTCGATTATGCTTGCGATCAAGCAACCAGGTCCCGAGGCGCTCAGAAAAGCACGAGTCTCATTTCAGAATAAATGTTCTTCAATTTTATTGGCTAAAAATGCAGCCTTTTGTGAAATCATCCCCACTCAACAGAAAACAAAAAAATATAATCCAACAATGGCTTGCAAGTCCAGCTCAGCGTAACCGTAGAAGCACCGAATCATTGGACGCGAGTCTCGGGGGAAAAAGATGGGTGACAATAATGTTGAAGCGGGGGACATTCCGCAATTAAAAAGCAAAATTACTGTTTAACGAAAAAGTTGATAAAAGAAGCAGCCAAATGGCATAAGTATTAAAAAAAAACAATGCACGAAATTATGTAGCATAGGCAAAGGGTGGGCTTAAAAAATAACGCCATTGCTTGGCCACCAAGAGTTAAAAAAAACTGCGAGAAAAAGAGAAAGCGAGAGTATATAAATAATTGCTGCATGAACAGTAAAGGAATCACTTTTCTTTCTTTGGCTCCACGCGGAACAAGTTTTCAACATTTGGCGACATTGTTAGCCGTCCATTTTTTTTCCCCCTCAGCGCAGCTGTCGTCATTTAAACAAGCCGTCCGTCACTTCCTCGGGAAGGAGGGAGAAGTGTCACAGCAGTCCAGTACGTCGAACTAACGCTGCGTCAACTTTAACGTCGAAACAAACGCTTTTTCGTTGGCGACGCTTCGTCGACAAGACCACGTCACGTGCACGGCCGAAAAAACGGTGAAATGCGATAAAAAATTAGGTTAGCGGCACGCACTGGCACAGGGGGGGGGGGGGGGGGGGGTAAGTAATGGTGAGACGATGCAACAAACAGCAGATGCAAAAGGCCAGACTTTTGTGAAGCCAGCGAATTTCCTCTGTACACTTTCAAGATGTGGCAAGCCCTTGCATACTTGGTCAGAGTTTTTGTTCTTGCATTCTTCCTTGGCTCTGAGATGAAATTTTTTTCGGTATGCCACCAACTACTTCTTGATGAAACAAAGGGGCGTTTCTTAAAACATCTAAGCAGGCAAAGGCCCAGTGGTGCGTCACGTGGACGCAGGCATACATCATGGCAAACTCCAGGCAGCCATGTCAGCAGCTTGTAAACCAAATTTTCTTTCGCTGCTGCCAGCGATTAAAAAAATAGAAATCAACACATTGGACAACAAGCTATGATTAGACGGGCCGGAAGACGAAATGACCTCCGATTTCTTTTCGGCAAAAGAACTTGGCATCGATATGCCGAAACCACTTTCCGCAGCAGGCTCTTGCTTTTCCATGCCTCCGTGGCTAAGGGCGTCTGTTGACTCGCTAGTTGTCGGCTGAACTCTTCTCAAAATCACGGAAATCACCTTCACTGCCTAAATGCAGATGCACCGAGATAAGAACAGGGGGCGACGTAGCAGAATGTCTTTCGGACAAAACTGACAATGCAAGTTGAAGTTGGCAGCCAACCATTCTTCAGCAAGCTGACGTCTTGATGACCTCCACTGCCAGCAACAATGTGGTGTGTACAACTTGTCGCACTTGAGTACCGCTTTCTGTCCTATGATCCTTTCAAGGGGAGAACGCGGCTCCTCTAGTGAATTTCGCAGCACCGATGAATGTTAGCATTGTGAGGGTATACGTCGATACTGCTGCCCAAAAGCGCATTCATTGGCTCGCGCCAGGGCAGCCAGCACCAAAAGTTTGTGCTGCTGCGTTACGAACAACTGGCCTGACCGAATGTGCGTGTGTGTATGCCTCGGTGCTTACGCAGTTTCTCCCACATTTCAAGCGCTCATCTGCCAGTTTCGTCGCAATGCATCGGTGTCTGCATTAAAGCTACAGCTGTAACGGGACGTTCTCTATGCTGAGAGCCAGAAAGGTCATTGACCCAGAGCACTTCCATCACCCATGCTTGCACCTTTACCATGTAGTTCCTTCGGTTTCTCAGAGCCACAAGCAGGAATTCCGGCAACTTCAGGCAGGCTCTAGAAAGTGTCGCAATTGGCACGTTTGAGAAGTTAAAACGAGCGAGCAATCGTTATCGGCGAAAGGCCCTTCAAGCGAGTCCTTTGCGCTGCACCCACTGCCGTAGAATAGGTCGCAGAAGCACTGGCGGCTGAAGCCGGCTCTCAGAGCTTGAACAGCGCGTGGCGGATGCACCTGGCTCCCGCTAAGAGTGCGGGCCACCGGGTCTCGACCAGGCGGCGCCACCGCTTCTTGCCACCGGTGTGGTGGAGACACTTGCCACAGGGGGCGGTCTCCGTGTTGGATGGATGTCACAGCGTCCGGTAGGGTCCCTTCATCTTGAGGTACTGCAACGAGAGACAGCGACAGCTTGCACAGAGGGACGAGGACCCCATATTCTTCTGTGAAATTATTTAAGAAAATGCACTAGACAGTGCATCGTGGTACTTCCTAAGCACATGGCACTGATGTGCCTAAATGGCAGTTGTACAATAATTAGCCAAGTAAAATGCATCAACTCATCAAGAAAAGGTAGTTAAAGACATGTGCTCACGCAATGCTTGTAAACCACAGGCTCATTGCCCATCAATTCATTGCTGGTCATTTTGGTTATTTAATTGCTCTTAGATTTTCATATACTCCGGAGTGAAAATTTCACATCATGAAAACATGAAAAAATACTCCGACTACTATATGTGGGTTTCCACAGTACATGCAATAGTTATCTGACAGCAGAAAGCATTTCTCATAAAGTAAACAAGTAATATAAAGAAATTTCTGCTGAAATTTCTCATGTCCAATGCCTCGTTACATAGGCTAAAGATTATTTGTCTCTCACCAAGCTGGATCTCTCAATTAGAGCTTGATGCCACTGAATAATGCATATCATAGTTGAGCGTGGAAGGATAGTCTTCATTCTACAATTTTTCTGAATTAACGAGGGTCAAATTGTCGAGACGCATCACGGCTGTGTTATACCTGGATGACAAGCGAGGGCCCGCCGTTGACAATCTCGGCAGGTATCTGTGACAGGGGGCAGTTCTCGATGCTCATGATCTGCAAGTTGGTGCACAGGGCCAGCTCAAACGGTAGGCTATGTAGGTTCGGGTTGTCGTTGATGTACAAGGACTCCAGATTCTCCAGGGTGCCTGCACACACACACACACAAAGTTATGTTGCATTACACGCTCTTACAATCCTATATGAAGTGCATTCGCCGAAGCGAGAACATTCCGAACGCCATCCAATAATTCCGTATGCAATTCACCGTATTAAGAAAATTTATATCCCGTAAAATACAGATATCATACTAACTTCTTAGAATGGCAGATGAAACACTGTGATATGATAATACATAGTGAAAACTCTGATGGCAATTTACAGAATTCCATAATGATCAAATATAGTTCGTTGAGCACATCAGTGCACAGTGAGTAGATGCTGTGGAGATAAGTATTGTAATATTAAAGACACATGAAAATATCACTGGAATTACACTCAATATTTGAGTGCATTTGTTACTCATGTGTAAAGCCCTGTAATCACCTGAGATAAAAAAAAAGTGTGCATTTTACAGGAGGTCATACAATATACAGAGAGTTTTCAGGAATGTGTCCAAAAAATCTTAGAGATATGAAAAATTGAATGTTTACATAATCCCTTCATGATTGCTTCTTCTGTAGCAGCAGACATTCCAATCTGGCAAAAGGTATCAATTACGGCAGTAATACAAGGAGCTACATCAACTTTTCCGTTAGTGGATACATGTGGTCGGGTTAAATGGGACAACTGAAGTCCCTCATGCATAGAGCCAATCGCTGCTTTGCGATTAGAAAAAAAAAAGGGGGGGGGGGGGGGCTCTGGAAATAATTGCAATGTAATGAAATATTACCTAATTCATCAGCTATGCTTAAAGCAAAGCCCGAGTGAATGGAACTAGCAAACGTCACTGTTCACTACATCTTACATGAAAGTAAGTTACATGAAGTAATATACAAAAATTCAATATAAAAATAATTTTTAACATTGTATCTATTGCAAGACTGTTGTTCATTTAGTTTGTTGTAACCGATATTTTGTTATATGCGTGCTTGTTATATCCAGGTTAGAGGGTACAACGATGCAGTGGTGTTAGTTCTACTATAATCTAACCATGAAGGCAGTGGAAACACTTCTTGAAGCAACCATAATACACAGCAAACAAAATCAAGGAGGCGACACTGACCAATCTCCTCAGGAATCTGGTTCAGGTTGTTCTCCCCAACGCTCAGGTAGGTGAGGTTGCTCAGGTAGCCGATGGCGCGCGGCAAGTTGGTCAACTGGTTGCTCTGGACGACTAGCTTCTGCAGCTGCCGCAGATGACCTGCAAATTATTTGAGAGCAATGAAGAAGTGATTTACTGAAATGCCATTAAGAAAGGCAACTAGCACAACAGCTATGATTACAGGGTTTCATCAAAGCGTTAGCAGGAAAAAAAAAATGCCAGGCCTGTGCGGTAGGCGCAGCACAGTCACAGCGAAAGCTAAGATTGGTTGGTTGGTTGGTTCAGAGCGGCCTTTCAGAGCACTTTCTAAACACTCATTTGGTAACTGCTGCTACCACACATGCTTGATGCCCACTATGGCATTAATAATAAAAATTTTATGCTGTTTTTCATCATTCTTCTGAAAAACGTGGCATCCGCTAAACTATTAATTCTTCTGAGAAACGTGGTATCTGCTAAACTATTGCGAGGAATTTTGTGCCAATCGTTCATGCAGCGGCTGATGACGATAAGGAATTATGCCTGAAGTGGGTATGCGCCACAGTTAATAATGGAACAATAACAAACTTTTGTAATGGGTTGGAGCATTGGATGACCCACCCCTCATGCAATTTGCATTGCGCGCTAACTGATTTTTCTTTTGCTGTTATAAAACGCTTTATAAGTCGTATTAACGCAATTGCTTTCACCACATCAAGCCTGTCTAAGGCAAGTTTGCCAACAAGTTCCAAGCACCAGCGTGGCTCAGTGTTACAATACTGGTCTGGCACCCAGCGGACCCGGGCTCGAGCCCCACTGTGTTCTTGGTTCTAGATTTTATTTCTTAATTCTGCGATAGTGGTTACGGACACCAGCGGCAGCGGCGGCGGACAACTGCGTGTGACTCGAGCTGTGATCTCATAACAGTTTTCGCTGTAAAAAGGCGGTGTGCTGGCCAGTAAGCTCGAATAAGCACGTTTTTACTGGGATATTTTAATCATACATCAGTGTTGCGGAGTTGCCACTCATGAATTCGGATGACTCCAGGATGATAGCCAACTTTCATGACCCCGAAATGGTGTGGGAATGGAATAGAATTAAGTGCTTTTTGCACGGAATGGTGTATCCTTTTCCAAAAATAGAGCTTGTTTTAATCTATGTGCTGTTTTTCCAACTTGAAACATTAGTAAGTCTGAGCAGGGGCGTAGGCAGAAATATTATCAGAGGAAGGAGGGCACAGGCTTGGAGTGCTACTTCTTGGCTATATGACGGAGTCAGAGCCCCTCGAATTTAAAGAACTAGTGACATTAACTTCATGCATGTCTCGTTTTTTATGTCATTGTGTAGCTATCAATCCCCTAGTAATGATTCGGTATTAATAATGTAAAAGAGACACGAAATCTACAGTCGAATCACGATAATTCAAACTCGAAGGGGCCCAGAAATTTGTTTGAATTAAAGAAAGCTAAACACATGGAGAGCTCTCCATGCAGTGGCACATGTGCATTGAGCTAACACACAAGGGGGAAGTTTCAGAAGCCTTACATTTATTCACAAATCACAGGACATCCGTTATTAATTGAAGTAATCGGTGATGCACGTCTGCACATGTTTGCCTTGCAGAGAGCTTGCAAAGCATTTCTACTTTGGCTTCAGCATTCTGCTGGCAAGAGAAGTTGCGCGCGGAAATGTCCAGTGCCCACACTTTCCAAAGACGAGAACAACGACTGTGTAGTGAGGTGTAGCCTCTCTGCTACGCAGCCGCAGCATGGCCAGCACGTGACAAGAAAGGAGGAACGTCGCCACGCGGAGAGAAGCAGATCAGCATTTGAGAGAAAGCCAACACTCCACGGCAACTTTTTTTTTTCTTTTTTTGCTCCTTCGAGAGTGTCGTTGAAACGAGAAGGGTTACATGGCAGGGACGGGAAAGGAGAAAGGGTGGTACCGGCACGTGACCCCCCCCCCCCCCCTCAAGGCGCAGAGCCGTGCTCCCGCAAGAGGCAAGGGCTGCAGATTATAGTGCCTTTTTCCTTTCCTTCAACCACACATTCATTCAACCCAGCGACAGCTTTCTTTTGTTTTGCCTCTCTCTTTTCGCGCGCGGCGTCGGAAGGAGAATGGTCTTTACGTGGCAAAGACGAAAAAACGAGAAACGTGGCAAACGCGTGTCGCAGATCGGCAATTGAGAGAGTGCAAACAATCTACCGCAGCCTTTTTTTTTCCTTTTCATTTCCTTCGCGCCCAGCGTTGAGGTGTCGCCGATTCCCGCACGGGATTGGGTGAGGTGCTGAGAGCATTTTCGGAGCGCGGTACGTTCGAATGAACCGTCGCAAGTGCTAGCACGTTCGAATTACCGGGCGTTTTCGCCCATTGGAATACACACAGCTTTGGCGATACCTCATCGTGAGTTCGAATTAACTGGAAGTTCAAATTAAGCGTGTTCGAATTAATGAGATTCGACTGTATATGTTATATCGAACCCAATTCAAAACGGGTGCAAATCCTGCCAATTTTCAGCGCTGCCAACACTGTCAAGCTGTCACCTTCCACCGCCCTGCCACATCTGATCATGTGGCCACACGAAGTGGTGACGCGAGTTTCAGTTGAGATTTCGTCTGCTGGGTGCGCACCTGAAGAGGCATGTCTTGCCACCCCCACTGCCGTCGCTGCCGTAATCAGTGTCCACAAGCAACAATAAATGAGCAATATCGAATCGCTGTGATTCGCAGCATGACAATTCATTTTCGGTTTGATCCTCTTCTGAGCAGTGATTCTAAAATCCGCGCCCGACTGAGCAGTGACGAGGCAGTTGGAGATGCAGCTTGTGCCACGCTGGCTGGTAAAACATACGAACGCTGCGTGCACGTTCATTGCTTGCGATGATCGTAGCTTCAAAAATAATCAAATTCGCACTCGTGGCTCCACGACAAATCACCTGAAGTAGCACAGCAAGAACGCAGAATTCACACGAATACGCTGCATGAACTAAGCAAAATAAAGCAAGTTGGCAGCCAGTCAGGCATCACCACTAGACGATACCACATGTAAGTACTGCGATGAAAACACTTATACTGTTGACGTCATTGCTGCTCGCTCATCGTCACTGGATGCCTGAGGCGTGGCCTAGAAGCCTACAGAACATGTCAAAATACTGTCATGTCCAATTGCCATTGCGCTTTTGGATGCTCTTTGAGTTAGAAATAGAATAACTTCTACGTAACGCACACCATTCATACTTCGCTAAAAAACTTATGCATACCAAGCAATCAAAAGAACACCACATCTCGAGTTTGAAATTTGGTGTTCCTGCTTCTTTAACAATAATGCAGTTTTTAAAAAATGGCCTGCCTGATAAACAAGCACGGCACGTTTATAAGCAACGTGCCTACTACAATTCTGTTCTTACATATAATTACACAATGTTGCTCGAATTTTGTCTCTATTCTTTGCGTAACTGCGACTTGTGTCGTTGGTATTCGTCGTGCAGAACTACAGCAGTGGCGTAATCTCTCACCCCCCCTTACTTTTTAGATGCAAAGCAGATATGGCGGAGTTCAATCCCGTGTGGCGTGTGACCACCCTAACTGAGCGTCCCGCCTCTCTCCTCTCCTATGCTCCATCCCTTTTTACTTGGGAAGGCAACGAAACGCTTACTCAGCAGTGGGGTGTCCACACCTTGGGACTCGCTTGTTGGATTTTGTGCTGAGCGGTTGTGTCGTCTGCAATCTCCTAGGCGCCAGCACAGGTCTCGCCGACTGGTGCCTCGTCCTTGGACTCCTTCGACTGTGTCCCGACCTTTTTCTTTTTTCAATCTTTACTTCCAACTCTTTTAAACCCTCGTTAACCGATTCCTTCGTGAGCTACTGCACTTAGCTGCAGACAGTTGCGGGGCTCACTTTTCTTTACTCTTGTCCTATTTTAAAACTCCCCCTCCCTGTCTCTCTCCTCTCCTACACCCTTCATGGAAATGCGTTCCATGTTTCTATGAGACAGAGCGCGTCTGCTTTGTTTGTAGCCGTTGATCATCGGTCTTGCGGCATTCCACAATTCAGTGAGCCGGAGCGCATTGAGGGACAGGCTCTTTAGCAGTGCTATAGCCATGGTCACTGGCAGCGTTCACGGCAGCGGTCATCAACATCAAGCGATGGTCTCCGGCACAGTTAGTCAGGTAGAGGCTCTGAATGGTGGTGCACTTGCTTAAGACGAGTTTCTGAGGGTGCCGTTCACCATCTTCCCGCTGCTTCGCATCCCCACATGGTTCCCTTTCACGGAGGATGGTGTAATTTTTTTTTCCCCTCGGCAGATCTATATGGTTCTGCTTCCCATTAACAAAATCTTAGTTTTCTTCATATTCCCAACCACTCCAGGTGCATGGCAAAACTACTTAGTCTTCCTGAGCACTACTTTTCTCAGCATAAAAATAATGTATGTCATCTGTATTGCATTAATGCATAAGCTAAAACAATATCAAATCATCACCATTTGTTCAAACATGCTGGTCATGCTAATACTATAAGTAATTTATTTATTTATTTACAGATACTGCAGGCCCTACCAGGCCCATGCAGGAGTGGGATACAAACAATACATTCAAGCAATAACTAGTAATACACTGGAGTACAGGGCATAAATGAGAGAATACATAACGATCAAGTACAGAAAAGTCAAATATATTTTCTCGCTGTTCAACAGAACTGTGCACAACTAAGAATATTTTCAACATTTGTAGCCGGATGAATTGCACTCAAATGACACTATTTTCAGCATACATCACTTATATGGTGAAATTATTCTTTTCTATCTGTTGAGTGAATGAAGCCGTGGAGGCAGCATTCACTACTTCCGCAGGTAATGCGTTCCAATGAAAAATTGCGCGAGGAAAGAGAGCGAACTTGTGGGCATTAATGTGGCTGGGTGGCTGCTCAAACGTTTTGTTGTGATTTGTCCTAGCTGAAAGTTTAAAAGGCTGCTGAAGGTATCGTTCCCGTGATAATTTAAAGTTCCCGTGGTCAAGTTGGTAGACGAATTTTAATCTGGATATTATCCTGCGCTGTTCTAGTATTTGTAGGCTTGCCCTATTACGTAGATTAGTTACACTATGTTGTCGGGAGTAAGTGGAA